GTGTGTGTGTGTGTGTGTGTGTGTGTGTGTGTGTGTGTGTGTGTGTGTGCCTAAAAATTTTTAGTCCTTTTAAAAATTTTTAAAAAATCTTAATTAAGTAAGCGGTATTATTCTTTTCTTATTTTTACAGCTATTTGGCGAATCACATTGTTACTTTTCAAATAAAACAACAATACTCATGCATCTGTGCCGACCTTACCTCTGCAGACCCAATATTCTTGTAACAGTCCCAACTGTGCAAAAATTATAAACTTTTATTTTATTTCAGATCAGACCAGGTATTTCTCAAAGAACAATAGCAGAGAAAATATACAGATTTATTTCTCCCTAAAAATCTAGTTCCAAGTAATTTTATTGCAAATATTATTACCTTCTTCTTCTCTGGATGTGCTTGATCAATCAAAGCTTGTCCAGAAGCTGCGGTTTTGTCTATCATTGGCTGATGACCAGCGATTTCTGCTTCCAGCTTCTTGTGTTTCTTGTGCAATGTTTGGGCTTGATGCAGATTTTGTCCGAGTGTTGTCGACGATGCTTGAGGAAGATGATCTTTTATCCATTGTAACTCAGCATCTAATTCAAAACCAAACTTGTGGAATCGTAAACTCTCTTCCAGCGCTTCTCGTCTTTTCTTAGCCGGTTCTTTCAAGCTACGGAACCTGCAGAAAAATAAACATCATTATTTTTAGTATTAAAATAATTAAAATTATTTTTGTACCGTTTACAAAACATTGCGTACTTTCTTTGCGTGGCTTGACTGGTTTTCAATATATTCACAGCATCGAAGTGTCCTTCATGAGCCATTTCTTCACCCATGGCAACTAGATCATCTACTTTCTGTTCCCATTGACACATGTCACTCTCAAGCGTTTGATGTTTCTTTAATAACTCCTTGCAGCTTCTAAGATCCGTTCCCACTTGTTTACTTTGCAAGCAATTCTCTATTTCCTCTAGTTTCAATCTGGCATCCTCCATTGTTCTATTGTAACCGTGTTGAGAAGCAGCTTGTCTTAATCTGCGACCCTTTTCCAAAGACAAAGCCACCAGTTGATCCCATTGGTCATTCAACTCTTTCAAGGTTTTCCCAACATCTTCCGACCTGTAGTTCTCCTCGGATATCAAAGCTTTTCCAGCTTTATTCACCGCTCTTAATTGTCCCTCGTTAGCTCTCAATTCTCTTTCAAATGCTTCGTGCTTCTGTAATTTTCGTTCAAGATTGTTTAAATCTCGATAACTTTCATCGGACGCTGTCTTCATTTTGTCGCCTAGCCAGTCTCGCAGGTCATCCACTTCCGCAGAAAATTGCTGATAATGTTCTGAAGCTTTCAAGGCTGCACGACGACGCTGGGCAGCATCTTTCACTTGGTTTCTGCGAGCCAAGACCTGATTCCTTCTGTCATTGATGTAGTCTTTCTCATAGTGATTTTGAGCGATCAGCTTGTCCGCAGTGTCGCTGAAAGCTTTCAATCTGTCATCCTGCGCGTGGAGAGTGTTCTCAAACTTTTCGTGCTGTTTCAACAAAGCTTCAACATCATCTAAGGATTCACCTAGATCGGTAAATTCTAGAAACGCCTCGTGAGAGCTGGTAGTAGCTTCAATTTGATCAGCTTCGCGATTAAACTGCTGTAGCTCTAAACATTGTTGCAGCCAGGCTTCTTTCGCCATCCAATCTGACGTCACAGCCTGGTACAGGCCGTGCAATTTGTCCAAGCGTTCACTGACATCTACCAAGGTTGGATTACGACGTAACAATTGATTCCCAAGTTCTTCGACTTCTCGAAATCTGAAAAAATGAAAATTTGCTATGCCACTGTTTCGAATAATTTGAAAAATCGATATGAAACGTTCGAATACTTACTCGTCTTCACGTGTTCGTATATCTTCCCCAAGTTCCATGTGTTGCTTTCTGAGTTGTTCAGCCGTGGCAACATCTCTAACAGGTTCCTCGACCTTCATCGTCTCTTGCACATCCGCAGCCCAGTTGATCAAATTCTTCGAACTGTTCATGAAGATCTGTTGACCCACTGCATCTTCCAATCTGGATCTACGTTCCTTAGCCTTCGTTTGGACTTTGTTCCAGAGTTCTTTGATTTCGTTTTGTCTGGTGTTCACGTTGTTCAATTCGTGTGGATAAGAACTCTTCACGCTGTTCGCCAGTAAGTTGACCTTTCGTACTTTCTCTTCAACCGGCGCCAGCTCCCTCTCCAGGTGTTGGTGTCTTCTTTGCAGAGCCTGGACTGTTTTCAGGTCTGGTCCGAGTTCTGCAGTGTCCAACTGAGTAATTTTTTCTAACATCCAGTCGTGAGCCTCGTCGCAAGTTCTGTTAAACAATTCCACGCTGGAAGCTCCTTCCAGACTCTTCTCCTTCTGAGCCTTCAACCTGTTTAAGTGGTCCCAAAGCTGATGGATGTGCCTCTGTCTGGCCTTGACTTTATCCAACTGGCTGTGTCCTTGTCTGACAAACTCATCGACCGCAGCATCTATGGCCTCTACTCGTTTTCCAGAGGCCGACAGATCTGTCAGGAATTTCTCGTACTTTCTTCTGGCAGTTTCTACATTATCTCGCGTGTCATCAGCTCTCAGCATCTTTTCTTTATCCTTGATCCACTTTTCAAAATCATCGCATTCGCGATAGAAGCCGTAAAGTCTTATAGCATCCTCTAGTAAGGCATGCCGTTTCAACGCCAATTCCTGGAGCTCGCTGTAAGTGTCATTAATCTTCTTCAGCCGTTTTTCCACGCTATCTCCATCGGATACAGCCTTCCTTTTAACTGGTTTTACCGTTGATTTTATGGACTTCACTCTTCTGACCGGGACCAACTGTTTAACCATCTTCGTTTTCTTCACTCTCTGCGTAACCCTAACTTTTTCTGGTCTTCTAACCTGAACCTGTATCACCTTGGGCTCTAATTCACGAACGTAGTTCGCTGGTACGAATCCATCGGTGCCATCTGCTTTCCGGACGCTCCACCAGTCAGGATTCGTCTTGTTTAATAAAAACATCACCTCACCCTTTACCATTTGCATACCCTGACCGCTGAATGGATACAAGCTCTTCACTTGGGGTACCAATCTGTCTTCAAGAACCGTTCTTGGTTCTAATCTCTCTACCACTTCGTCCACCCACTCGTCTTGAGGAACTAATCTAATCTCTTTGCCTAAAAAAAAAAAAGAAAAAAGAGAAAAACATTTTTTTTTTTAATTTCTTTCTTTCATGGAAGAAGAATTAACGAGAACTTGAACTTGAAAAGTCGAAACTTACTCCATTCTTCTTGTTCCAATTCCGCAACGGGTTCTGGATCAGCGGATAACTCAAGAGTGGAAATTCCAGACTTAATAAGCTTCTCAGCCTGCATGTTCAGCGATTGCACGTCACCTTTGTAGGCGTTCAACTCTCCTTCCAAGTCTTTGTGTCTCTGTAAAAGTGCCTGAGCGCTGGGCTCGTCAACGCCGTAGTCTTCAGAGGCGACGAGGGTCATCTTCTCGTTCATCCAAGAATCTGCCTCGTTCGCGTCCGCGTAAAATTGAAAGGCTTCTGCTGCGTCGTCCAACTGTTTCTTTCTGAGGGCAGCCAACTCTTCCAAGACCTTCCAGTGTTCTTGCAACGAGTCAATGCGATTTTGAATTTCCAAAGACGAAGAATGATTGTCAGCTATCAGCTTTCTTCCGGCGTCACACAACTGTTCAGACTTGGGCCTCCGTACTTTCATCTCATCCTGAAGTGCTTTGTGCTTCTGTTGCAACGAAATTACAGCACGCAAGTCCTTGGCTGATATCCCAGCTTTGCAAATGCGTTGTTTCTCAATCAGCCAGGATTCCTCGTCCTCGTGATCTTGAAGGAAATGGAAGAAATTCCTGGCGTCTTCTAAACGAGCCTTACGCTCCTTGCTATATTCCACTAGATCGTCGTAGGCTCGGTTCAACATCTCCAGCTTTTGCTGCAACAGAGGCACCTCCTTGCTCTGAGGTTGAGCCAAGTGCTGAGCCGCTTGTCTACCCAGCCTCCTCTGTGTCTCTCCAAGAGCAGTTACTTGCAATTCTTGCAAGCTGTGCTTCTGCAACAGGTCTTCGACTCCCAATAGATGTGGCCCAACGTCTGTACTTTGGAAATTCAGCTGCAGTTCTTGTATGGAGGCCAAAGTTGTGTCGATCTCTCGCATGAGGCTCATGAGAGAACTCAAGGCAACTAAATTAGACTTATGATGATCTAGCAGAGCTAAGAGCTCCTTCCACCTCTGGAGAACTTCCTGTTCTCTTATTTGCACCCGCTCTAACCCGTGGTAATTTTCTCTTACTAATTCCTCCGACATGTTAGTCAAATCGTGGAAGCGTTCCTCGCGAGCTAAAATATCTGCACTAATGGCTTCGTGTTTCTTCACTGTGGCGTCTACCTGGGCCAAATTGCTACCGTATCTAGGATCCGTTAACACTTGGATCATTTCTTTTAAGTAACCTTCCCTCAGAACACTCTTTCTTTCGAATTTATAGTTCAACTGTTCTAATCTTTCTTGCCTGAGAAGCTCGGTTCTAAGAGCAACTTCTCGACGATGCTCAGCCCGTTCCAGTTCTACCCAATTTCTTTCGATGTCGTGTATCAATTGACCCTCTTGAGGCGTAAAGGCAGGCTGATTCAAGGATTTCAATTGGGTGTTTATGTGAAAGTACAGAGCCTCTATTTCTGACCGTTCTTTGTACTTCGGTGGTTTCTCTACAGTTCTATATTGCTTGAAAGCTAACAATTCCCTCTGAATACCTTCTAAAGAGTTGGGGAAGTTCCTGTTTTCTAGTACTCCTATCTTCATCTTGATCCATTCCAACAAGTCTGTTGTGAGCTTTTCGTAGTGAATCTTCATCTTGTCAGCGTCCATCATTTGTCCCACGATCTAAGGATAATAATCATTGCTTTAGTTTGAGTTCTTTAATAATCAAATTAGTATATCTCGATAGACAGGCGTGCAACGTAAAACCTGACTTACATTTGCGATTCTTTTACCGCTCTTGATCTCGTTCTTCATCCTGGCAAAGGTATGGTAATAAGAAGCGACATACGTGATGATGGATTTCTCGTCAGGCCGGGCGGTATCAACGTCCTCCGCGTCCAACAATCGCGGAATACCAAGTTCCGAGTTGGCCACGTCGAAGGCATAATTAAGATTGTCGATATTTTTATTTTGCTGCAGTTCTGACCAATTAACCAGGTCTGGTCTGTGAGCGTGGATAAGGGCATTGAAACCAAGACCACTTCTCCACGATACTGCAATCAATCACATTTACACGTCAGATCGCAAATTGTATATGAATTCTCGTAATTGGAAGAGATTTACCAAAGAACTTACCGGTAAAATCCTGGATGTTAACGCCAGGATACCCGTTAGTTTTCCTCTGACACCAGAGTAGCAGTGCATCTTTGGCTGACTTCTTCTCGCTGCTGTCGTTCTCCTCGTCCACGTCTATCTCGATCTCTTGGATTTGGAATCTCAAGATAATAGTCCAGATCAGGCCAAGTATCAATCTTGGATTCCCGTCCACTATGTCCTCGGCTCCGATACTTTCCAAACGGACCTGCAAATCGCCATACATGTCAATTCATCTATCGAGACCTTCTTCGATCAGGTGAACGCAACCATAAGCGTAATGCGCTCGTAGAATTTATGAGAAGGGATCGGTGGACTTCTGGCACGAATGATATTCGCATTCCATCGTGCACGTTTGTGTTTGTACGCGTATACGTGCGCGCGGGTAAGTAAAAGAGCGGAATGCACGCTGGCTATTGGCATCGCGCGCGTTGCGTAAACAGTGGGCCTTAATAAGCGGCTTGTGCGCGAACATCTTGCTATGATAAAACAGGCATGCACTCGCGCCGCGCCATGTGAAAAGTAATAACTAGTTGGACGGCTTTCAAAACACAACGTCATATTATGATAATGATGTTTATTTGAAATAAAGAAACTTCAGATATACACGAGGCACTGGGTCATCCGCTTCTGACGATTATAAACGGTTGGAAAATGGAAACGTTAAATTGACAAAATGACCTTTCGTCACGTTCAGCCTTGGAAACATTTCTTTTGGAAGTCACAGGTAAGGAAAGTCGAGCGACATATGCCGGCAAGATAAATGTGAAAGAATGTTTAATCCTCGCGCCGCCATTTTTGCAGACGCTGGGCTGCATAATAATAATGACATTAGAATAACCTCATAAATATTGATCATATGCTTTAGGATTATTCTATTCGATTGAAAACTTTATTGTCGAACCTGTACAAATAATAGCATTGGACCATGTGTTTATGGGAAGATACAAAAATCTACAGAATGAGCCTAATATTCAAACATATTCGTTAGAGGTTAGAAGTTCACTGCATTCGTAAAAATATGAATTTGCACAGGCATTCACAATCTACTGTCACAAA